CTTCCTTGTACCAGGTCCCCCTCCGGTAGACCCCCTCCCCCCTCAGGGTCCGTCCCCTTCAGGTGTGTCCCAGGTAGACGCACTCGAGCCTGTCGAGGTCACTGGTGACTCTGGTGCTGCTGAGGGTGCTGAGATTGGGGGTGCTGACTCTGGGGGTGCTGAGCCTGGGGGTGCTGAGCCTGGGGGTGCTGCGACTGGGGGTGCTGAGCCTGGGGGTGCTGAGCCTGGGTGTGCTGAGACTAGGGGTGCTGAGCCTGGGGGTGCTGAGTCTGGGGGTACTGCGCCAGGGGATGCTGAGCCTGGGGGTGCTGAGCCTAGGGGTGCTGAGCCTGGGTGTGCTGAGCCTGGGGGTGCTGAGCTTGGAGGTGCTCCGCGTGGAGGTTCTGTGGGTGCTTCGTCTCTGCGGGAGCCACTCTCTCCACGGGAGCTGCGCGAGTAGTTTGCCCGGCGCTGGAGGCGTGCTGCTGGTGCTGGAGGTTCTTCGGCTACTGAGGGTGCTGCTGTCGCGGGTCCCGGCCGTGCTCGTACTGGGAGTACTGGAGCTGCTGGGCCTGCGGGTTCGACTAGAGCTGGTGCTGCTGAGGGTGTTGGAGCTGAGACTACTGCTGGCGGTCCTGCTGCGGGTACTCCTGGTACTGCTGAAGGTTCTGGCGCAGCTGGTGGTGCAGCTGGAGCGGGTGCTCTTGTTGGGGGTACTGGTGCTGTACCTGCTGTGTCTGGCGTCACCGCGCGGCCTCGACCGTACTTCGTTCCACTCGTGCAGCAGGTTCTTGGTCTTCCGCCTTCTACTGGTCCTCCTCCTTCTTTAGAGTGTCCACAGCCAGTCTCGTCACAGTTACAGTTGCAGCCTACCTCCCCTTTGCCTGCTCCTTCTCCCTACACTGGTCCTACTGGAGGTCTTGCTGAGCGTCGTGAGCCTGCGTCTCGCCCTGCGTCGCCTGTCCGTGCTGCTCGCGCTAGTGGTCGTGGTTCGCGGCAGCGTCCTCCTCCTGTCCCTGGCACGCACCGGATGTCTCTGCGTCCATCCACTGCTCCTCTGCGTGCTCCTTTGCCTTCTCCTCCTGAGTCCTCTCTTCCTGCACTTGCCGACCCGGAGTCGGACTCTCTTCGTGCTGCCAGTCCTACTGTCACGCGTCTCCTGGCTACTGTCGTCACTGACCCTTCTTTCGAGTCCACTGCTGCGTCTGCCCTAGTTGCTGAGCTCGTCGACTTTGCTGCTCGCTGTCGCCTAGACTACGCTGCTAGTCTTGTAGCTGAGTCTGAGTCTGTCTGTCCTCCGTCCGTCGGGGGTGAGTGTGCCCTTGGCACGGACGTCCTTGAGGACAGGCAGGAGGAGTTCCAGTACTTGGCCGCTGCTTCACCTCATCTCGTGTCCGTACTGCTTACCCCTGAGGGAGACCCGGATGCACTTGACATCCCGACTCCGCGCTCTTACGCGGAGGCGATAGAGGGTCCCTACTCTTCTCAGTGGCAGGCAGCTATGGATGCAGAGATGGCTTCCTGGAAGTCCACAGGCACCTACATTGACGCTGTCCCCCCTCTTGGGGCGAACATCGTCAGTGGCATGTGGATCTTCAGGGTGAAGCGGCCGCCGGGTTCTCCGCCTGTCTTCAAGGCGCGTTACATAGCTCGTGGCTTCAGTCAGCGGCAGGGAGTTGACTACTTTCAGACCTTCTCTCCCACCCCGAAGATGACCACTCTTCGGGTACTGCTGCACGTTGCTGCTCACCGTGACTACGAGCTGCACTCTCTCGACTTCAGCACAGCTTTCTTGAAGGGCAGCCTGCACGAGGAGATCTGGCTGCGCCGCCCACCTGGCTTCACTGGGTCTTTCCCTCCTGGTACCCAGTGGAGTCTCCGGCGTCCAGTCTACGGTCTCCGCCGGGCGCCACGTGAGTGGCACGACACACTGAGAACTACGCTTGCGGCTCTTGGGTTTGCTCCTTCTACTGCCGACCCGTCGCTGTTTCTGCGCACCGACACTTCTCTGCCGCCGTTCTACATCCTCGTGTACGTCGACGACTTGGTCTTTGCCACAGCTGACACTACTGGACTCGCCTACGTGAAGTCCGAGCTGCAGAAGAGACACACGTGCACAGACCTGGGTGAACTGCGCAGCTACCTTGGCTTGCAGATCACCCGGGACAGAGCACGCCGCACCATTACCCTGACTCAGTCACACATGGTGCAGCAGGTCCTTCAGCGCTTCGGCTTCACGTACTCCTCGCCTCAGGCCACTCCTCTGCCTACTCGCCACTCACTCTCAGCTCTGCCTTCGGATGAGTCCGTAGAGTCGAGTGGCCTGTATCCAGAGCTTGTTGGCTGCCTCATGTACCTGATGACCTGCACTCGACCTGACCTTGCATACCCTCTTAGCATTCTCGCACGCTATGTTGCTCCTGGGAGACACCGACCAGGGCACATGGCTGCAACGAAGAGGTTGTTGCGCTACTTGTGCAGTACGTCGGGCATGGGGCTAGTGCTTGGATGGCGGAGTCCAGTAGTCCTCACTGGGCACGCGGACGCTTCTTGGGCTGACGACCAGGCTACGCAGCGGTCGTCACAGGGTTACACCTTCAGCCTTGGTTCCGGCTCTGTTTCATGGCGGGCTACTCGTTCGTCTTCTGTTCTCGGCTCCAGTTGTGAGGCTGAGATCTACGCCGGGGCCATGGCTGCACAGGAGCTTCGCTGGCTCACCTACCTGCTGACCGACCTTGAAGAGTCGCCTCGTTCTCCTCCAGACCTGTACGTAGACAACAAGGCCATGCTGGCCTTGTGTCGAGAGCAGAGACTGGAGCACAGAACAAAGCACATTGCTCTTCGCTACTTCCTTGCTCGTGAGCTACAGCAGCGTGGTCAGTTGCGGCTTGCGTACGTGGCCTCTGAGGCCAACACTGCTGATGTCTTCACCAAGGCACTTGCGCCTTGTGATCATCAGCGCTTCTGCACCCAGCTGGGTCTTGTACCTGTCTTGCCTCACTTGCTCACCTCTTGACCTTGCTTGTACTGTTACATATATATACCTGCTCTTGCTTGTCTAGCTTTATATATATATATGTACTCCTACATGTGAACTGGCCTTGTGGCCTTGAACTTGTGCTCGGAATGTGTGGTGAGTTTGTGATCCACCCTGAGCCTTTTTTGCTTTGCTTTGCTTGACTGGTCTTGTGACCCCTTGTTCTCCCCCACTTTGCCTATGGGGTGTGTCAGAACATATAGCTTGTGCTTATTGTGTAGGCTATAGTGGGGTAGCCCATAAGGGGTACAACCCAATCAGGGTTAGTACTTGTACTCAGTTCATTCATAGTTCATTCATTCTCGTTTCAATCTTCTCACGCAACGCCGACCGCCACCGCCGACCTGTCACTTACCAGTCCGACGACTTAGTTTTACTTGACACTCAGAACCTCCGACTGCCCATCACCCAGAAACTCCTCCCCTGATACTGCGGGCCATTTCGCATAAGCCACATGCTTACCCCCGTCACCGCCCACCTCCTCCTCCCTGCTGACTGGTACGTCAGCCCCTCATTCCACGTCAGCCTACTTCGCCCTTACGTCCCGTCCACGAGCCAACTACCATGCAATCGCCCAGCCAGCATGACAAGACCACCAACTGAACCAATCATCACCCCCGAAAAAATCCTGAGTCACTGAGTTCGCGACCCTCGAGGAGCCCGAAGGATCGAGTTCTTACTCCGCTGGAAGGACCGTACACCCACTGAAGACAATTGGGTTCCCCTGGACAGAATCGAAAACCACCCCGTCCTCACTGAGTATCTGCGCAGCCGAAATTTCAGGGATGTACACGCACTTTCATAAGGAGGACCTCCTTAGGAGGGGGGGTAGTGTAAGGAAAATTCCTTTTCCTTACTTCGCATCCCTGCTCAACGCGTACAGCACTGTATCACCACAGTCAGCACCGTTACCACTCGCCACCCTCGCATCGACAATCTGCCTGCCACCTTCGCACATCGCACCCCGACCTCACGGCTCGGCGGGTAACCCATGCTCCGGGCCTCCGCTTCGACACTTTTTCCCAACCTCAGTCCCAGGCCCGTCGCGCGACAACCACAGTCCATTACCGTTACCACTGTAGTTTCGCTATATATTCTTCGCTCATGCCTTCACTCATTGTACTCTTGCTGCGATAGTGCAATTCTCGTTTGTTCACTCAATTACACTCGTAACAATGAGGTACACTTCACTATGTTCAATATTAACAAGCTCACTAAAGCACAACTCTATAGGCATCACAAACAAGACAGATTGAAAGATCAAACTAGGCTGATAGACAATGTAACTCCCCTGGTAACTTGGGCACAATCTAGATTGGATGGACCTTGAGTGACTTTGAGTGCCACATGAGGTGCATGAATAAGAAAACTCTGGATATTTCTGTTATTGCTGATTCTGATGTGTAGAAACCTGTAGAAACTGCCAACACTTCGGTTTGAAGGCAGCTTTGAGCTGTATCGAGTCTTCGGCTGAAATCTGATTGGTGGTGGAACTTTCGAAGTACTTCCCGAAGCCTCTGATTCATCGCCAACATTCCCCCTTGCTGCTGCTTGTGTGCCTATGCTGGGGCGGCAGAAACTCGATTCTCCAACAACAGCTTGGGAGTTCTATAATCTACATTTCCTAGACATCCGCGTCCTGAGGACGCGTCACCAGAACGCCGATCCTGCGATCGATCGTCGAAAATCGATCTTCCACCGCATTAAAACTACGCGCATCGCAGTTTGAAATTTCTAGCTGCTAATTAAACCACGCAAAAAATCGATCCTACGTAGGGTCGATCCTGCGATCGGCGTTGAGGTGACGCGCCCTCAGGTACCTGCCTCTACTGTCAACCCTTGGAGAAATTAGCAGTAGAAAGTCCCTCAGAACCAGTGGCACGTTTCCGCTAGTTAACTTGCTTCCTTCGAACGTCTTACGTCGATCTAAACTCCAGCTCCCTCGCACCTTCTCGCTCGCCACACGCTGTTTCACTCTCCGCAGACGAACAACATGTTCCTCCGACGCTCAGTGCGGACGCTAAACGGAGCAGCCTCTAGCGCTGTATTGTCGTCCCTGTTGCATCGAACGGCTCACGTTAGTCCGCCATTTGCTGTGCCTGCAGCCGTTGATTCGCTTCAACAGCAGCAGTTTCAATGTCGCGGATTAGCTACTGGATCAGAAGAAGGTAAATCTCATATCTTGCTCTCAAAAACCAAACCACTCTCATTTCGCGCAAAATGCTCCTGATACCGTCCAGCCGTCCGACTGCATCGAACGGCTCGCTCTTAGCATTGGCGCGCGCTGCCTGCAGCCGTTGATTCCTGTTCAGCTGTCGCTGCATAGGAAGGGCCAACGACAGTACCATGCCATGAAACGAGCCTTCTTATTTCCCTATGTCGTGGTGCCTTTGATTCCAGCATTGAAAGCATGTTAGGTGCGATTCGGCTTATTAGTGCTTTTGTGAGGAAGATTTCATCTCCAGTTCATGCTGCCTGTAGCACGACTCGCACGTCCCCTCTCCCCCGTGCAACGAGCAGCAGTCAGGGGCATCAGTGGGAGCACTGGCAAACCCTACACGGGCCTTCAGATAACCTCGGCCTTCTCTACTGTCCCCGCACTTTTCCCCTGGCCCTCCCCAGCCCCCCCATACGACTCGCATATACCACTCTCGCCCTTGCAGCGTGCAGCAGTGGCTGTGGGGGCGTCAATAGGAGCTCTGGCCATCCCTGCGCGGGCGGATCTGAAACCCACATACAAATTCCCACCCGCCTTCACCTCCCCATCCCCTGTTCCTGTTCCACCCTCCAGCCCCCCTATACAACTCGCACGTCACCCTCTCCTCCTTCCAGCGCGCAGCAGTGGCTGTGGGGGCGTCAGTGGGAGCTCTCGCCAACCCTGTCCGGGCCTTCATAAAACCCCTTGCTCCCTCTACTGTCCCTGCTCACACCGTTCCCCTACCTCCAATTACGATTCGCATATACCATTCTCTCCCCTCCAACGAGCAGCAGTGCCATAGGGGCGTCCGTGGGAGCACTGGTCAACCGAGCCTGGGCAGATATGAAACCCTCGTACTATGGTGTGGTGGGTAGGAGGGTGTGGTGAGTCGACTCAAAAGCACTGGCGAACCGTGCCTGGGCAGATATGAAACCGTCGTACTATTCCCCAACTCCCTTCATCTCCCCGTCCCTTGTTCCTATTCCGCCCTCCCAGCCCCCCTATACGACTCCCACGTCCCCCTCTCGCCTCTCCAACGCGCAGCAGTCGCCATGGGGGCATCGGCGGGCGCTCTGGCCAACCCTTCCCTTCTCTCCCTTCCCCCGTCTCCCCCTCCCCAGCTCCCCTTTACGACTCCCACGTCCCTCTCTCGCCCATCCAGCGCGCAGCAATCGTCATAGGGTCACTAGTGGGAGCGCTGGCCAACCCTGCCCGGGCCTTCATACAACCCCTTGCTCCCTCTACTGTCCCCACTCCTTCCCCCTCCCTCCCTGCAGTCCCCCTGTACGACTCGCACATCCCCCTCTCCCCCCTGCAAAGAGCAGCAGTCGCCATAGGGTCACTAGTGGGAGCGCAGGCCAACCCTGCCCGGGCCTTCATACAACCCCTTGCTCCCTCTACTGTCCCCACTCCTTCCCCCTCCCTCCCTGCAGTCCCCCTGTACGACTCGCACATCCCCCTCTCCCCCCTGCAAAGAGCAGCAGTCGCCATAGGGTCACTAGTGGGAGCGCAGGCCAACCCTGCCCGGGCCTTCATACAACCCCTTCCTCCCTCTCCTGTCCCTGCCCACACCGTTCCCCGGCTTCCCTCCAGCCCCCCCATACGACTCGCATATACCTCTTTCGCCGCTCCAACGAGCAGCAGTGGCTGTGGGAGCGTCAGTGGGAGCTCTGGCCAACCCTGCCCGTGCCTTTAAATACTCTCTTCTCTCTCGCCCTGCCCCTCTCCCTGCCCCTCTCCCTCCCAGCCCCCCTATACGACTCGCACATACCCTTGTCCCCTCTCCAAAGAGCAGCAGTCGCCATAGGGGCGTCAGTGGGAGCGCTGGCCAACCCTGCCCGGGCGGATCTGGTGGCGGCTGTGGGGGAGACGACTGGGGGGATGGCGCTGGGACGAATTAGGGAGCAAATGAGAACGACAGAGGAGGGCAGGGTGAGTTGTGGTATTAGTGTGTACATGTGTGTATGTATACATATGGATGTGTATTAGGGCGGATCTGGTGGCGGCTGTGGGGGAGATGACTGGGGGGTTGGCGCTGGGACGAATCAGAGAGCAGATGAGGGCAATAGAGGAGGGACGGGCGTGTGCAGTGTGCGTACGCATGTGTGTATATGCATGCATGTGTGTATAGCAGGTACTTGGTGTGGGGCCATCAGTGGGAGCACTGACCGACCCTGCACGGGCAGATTCGAAGCAACTTGCGCCCACCTTGTGCAATGCAGATGCTCTTTTCGGAGCGGCCTATGCTCACCCAATGGAATTTCTTTCCATGCATTTAACCCCATCTACCAACCGCCACCAGGCCATACTGGAGGAGAAACCCCGGGTGACCGACGCCACACTGCACGCAGCAGAGCAGTGCGGCCGAGGGACGTTTGAAGTCTCATTCCCCTTGCCCCCTCATGCAATCCCATGCTGCTGTGTAACTGCATTCAACACCAGGCCATACTGGAGGAGAAACCTCGCGTGACAGACGCCACACTGCACGCAGCAGAGGAGCGCGGCAGAGGGACGTTTGAAGTCTCATTCCCCTTGCCGCCTCATGCAATCCCATGCTGCTGTGTAACTGCATTCAACACCAGGCCATACTGGAGGAGAAACCTCGCGTGACAGACGCCACACTGCACGCAGCAGAGGAGCACGGCAGAGGGACGTTTGAAGTCTCATTTCCCTTGCCGCCTCGTGCAATCCCATGCTCCTGTGTAACTGCATTCAACGCCAGGTCATACTGGAGGAGAAACCCTGGGTGACAGACGCCACACTGCAGGCAGCAGAGCAGTGCGACAGAGGCACCTTCGGAGTGGCCTATGCTCACTTGTTGCACTCCGTTGCCCCCCCCGTGCCCATCTAACTGCGTTGCATTCACCATCAGGCCATACTGGAGGAGAAACCCCGGGTGACAGACACCACACTGCAGGCAGCAGAGCAGTGCGGCAGAGGCACCTTCGGAGCAGCATACGCTCACTTCATGCGCTCTCGTCGTTTTGAGCCCCACGAACGTCCCCCTGTGCGCTTCATTGACGACCCTGAGCTGGCCTACGTGGCCACACGGTGAGTCAAGAGTCTCTGTGAGTGTGCGTGGGGGCTGACGGGGGCCTTTGGAGCAGCCTTTGAAGGCTCACTCCATGCGTGCTCACTACTTCCTGCCCCATTAACGTCCGCCTGTGCGCTTCATCGACGACCCAGATCTGGCCTATGTGGCAGTGACCACACGGTGAGTCAAGAGTTCGGAGTGTGGCTGGTGAATCTTCCTGTGTGCGTGGGGTGAGGAGTGGCTGGCTGACGGACGGGGACATTCGGAGCGGCCTACGCTCACTTCATGTGCCCTCGCCACTGAAGCACACAGGCGCCCTCGCCACTGAAGCACACAGGCGGCCTCTCTCGTGGTTTGCCGCTTCGAGCGCCACGAACTGCCGCCGGTGTGCTTCATCGACGACCGTGAGCTGGCCTACGTGGCCACACGGTGAGTGTGGGTGGTGAGAGTACATGGCTAGGCAAGACCCTGCGGTCAATTCATGCACTCTCACCGCTGTTTGCCCCATGAGAGGCCGCCCGTGCGCTTCATTGACGATCCAGAGCTGGCCTACGTGGCCACACGGTGAGTGTGGGTGGTGAGAGTATTACCCACTTACTGTGTGCGCATGGTTGGATGGTTGGTTGGATGGTTGGTGCTGCACGAACGGCCGCCTGTGTGCTTCATTGACGACCCAGAGCTGGCCTATGTCTCCACACACACGGTGAGTGTGGTGTGGAGTGTGGATTTTGGCTGGGGAATCTTCATGTGTCACGTTCGTGTGTCTGGGGGGGATCACGCACTCACCATTGTTCCCATCCCGGCCTGCATATGTGCCTTCCGTCGCTCTTTCCCTCCCCTCTATCCTTCCCCCTTCCCTTTCCATTCCTCCAGGCTAAGGGAGGTGCACGACTTTTGGCATACCATATTCGCCCTCCCCACCACCGTCTCTGGAGAACTAGCCCTCAAGCTCATCGAGTTTACCCAAACTGGCCTCCCCATGTGCCTCCTCGCCTCCCTAGGCGCACCTATCCGCCTCTCCCCTGCCCGCCGCTCCCTCCTCCTCTCCTCCATCTACCCCTGGGCGCTGGGCGCTGGTATCAGAGCGGTGCCACTAGCGGGGATCTACTATGAGAGACGGTTTGGGGAGGACCTGAGTGATTTGAGGCTGGAGTGGAAAATCGCCCCTGCTCCACCGCGGTTCTTTGAAAGGAAAGGTGCTGTTGCGAGCTAGTAGTCTCCCTCCTCCTCTCCTCCATCTACCCCTGGGCTCTTGGAGCTGGTATCAGAGCGGTGCCACTACCGGGGATCTACTATGAGAGACGGTTTGGGGAGGACCTGAGTGATTTGAGGCTGGAGTGGAAAATCGCCCCTGCTCCACCGCGGTTCTTTGAAAGGAAAAGTGCTGCTGCGAGCTAGTTTCCCTCCTCTCCTCCATCTACCGTATTCCTGGGCTCTTGGAGCTGGTATCAGAGCAGTGCCTTTGGCGGGGATCTATCACGAGAGGCGGTTTGGGGAGGACCTGAGTGATTTGAGGCTGGAATGGAAAATTGCCCCTGCTCCACCGCGGTTCTTCGAAAGGAAGGTGCTGCTGCGAGCTAGTCTCCCTCCTCTCCTCCATCTACCTCTGGCCCCTGCTGTTGTTAATGGTGGTGATTGTTCTGATAGGGATATGCATACGGTGTAGTGCTGCTGTTTACTGCCCGATTATATATGGTTTTCTTTGTACATACCTTATGAATGCAATTTTCTGTGGAATGAGGCAAGCTACCACATTCAGATTGTACTACCAGTATCAGTATCTATCGAAGTCCCCTTGGTGGCCTGCGTATCTATCTAAACATCAGTACAGTATTCAATGCGGTTGGCTGCCCTGGTATCTGTCCCATCCATGAGCCACCGCCCTAGGCCAGGCCCCAGCCACACTAAGAGTTGAAGGTGTCAAGATTGATTTTATGGTTCAGGGTTTGCCTGCTAAAAATATGGGGGCAATATCTACAGTAAGTGAGTTTTGCCAGCTTAGGTTGACACCAGGCGAATGGCAAAGGTCTTGGGTTGGGTCCCACCTCCTCTGTGATGGGATGGAAAGAAGGAAAGCGGGGTGAGGAGGAGTGGTTGCATGACTGTCAGCACATGTCAGACTGAGTCTTTCCATTCCACCCTTTGTTGACACCAGGCGCACAGGCAAGGTATTGGGTCCCACCTCCTTTGTAATGCGAAGGAGGGAGGGAGGGGAAGGGGAGGGGGGGGGGGGGGGGTTGAGGAAGATGGAGGTGGAGGTATGGGAGAGGCAGGAAACAGAGTGATTGTGAAGCAAGGCAATGGTGCTTGAAGAGGAGTGCAACAAAACCACAACAAATGGCTGGTCAAATGCCTCCTATAACATTGGTTGAATGAATCGAAGAAATTCGCTCCCAGGTGGGCTTGGTAACCTCTCAATCGATTGTCAAGGAAAGATTGAGGGTGATTGTTTTCCTGTAGCCGGTTTCCGAGCCTGAGCTAGATGCGCCCCAGCCGAACAAGGGCCTTGTTGAACACCAACAACTTGCCAGTCTGATTGAACAAATTATTGGCCTTGGAGAAAAGCCAAGAGGTGAAAATCGCTCCCAGGTGGGCTTGAACCACCGACCTTATGGTTAACAGCCATACGCTCTAACCAACTGAGCTACGAGAGCTGATGGGTGGCATAAAAAACATAATAAGTAATTTTCATCAAGGTAGAAAAGAGCACAACAGTCGAACGGAACGAAGGGGCAAATATATAGAGGAGAGAGTAGAAACCGAGTGGGGGAGGAATGGTATAAACATAGGCTAGCCACGAATAAGGGGAAACAACAGAACAACGGTCATAGGGCAACAATGAAGTGAAAGCGGACATCGAGGAAAGGTCACCCTGTGAGCAAGTCGAGACGGAAAGGTAGGAAGGAGCAAATCAGCAGGAGGGTCCTTCCTGAGCAGGGGGAGAGTGTAAATGGATGGCGGTGAGGATGGTGCAAGTAAGATCAGAGCAGGTGCGCACGAGCACAGAGATACACATGGGCAGGGGGAGGTGACGGGTGAGGGGGAGAAGGGGGACAAAGCATTGCACTTCTGCCAAGGGAGAAAAGGACGGTATGAGTATGTATATACCTAGGAGTGAAGAGGGTCTTATGGGCAGTACCTGCACATGCGAAGGCCACGAGAAGGACAAGACGCGTGGGTAGGGGAGAGTATGTAAGCATAGGTCAGCGCAGATTACCGAGGGAGAGGGAACCTGCATGGGAAGAAGATCTCTTAAACTGGGATGGCATCAATGATGCAAGCACAAGGGAAGAGCAGCTGCGCATAAGCCCAGGGGTGTGTAAGGGCAAGGGTAGGTGAAAGGTGGGGGTGGAGGGGTGAAAAAAGCATGTAAGAACTTCCTAGAGGGGGAAAGGATGGTAGGGGTACATGTAGACACAGAGATAGAGGGGGATGGACAGGTATAGGAGTACTTATGGACGAGCAAAGGCCGCGAGAACAAGCTGAGATTTGTGGGCATGGGAGAGTGTGCAAGCCGTGCGGGGCAACATAGAGTCGGAATAACGAAGGAGAGTAAAACCAGATGGGCACATGGTTTACATGGGGGTAGAGAGGTATAAAGGGACGGAGGGTGCGGGAGTAAGCTTCAAAGCCAGGGACAACCTCCTAGGAGGGCAAAATCATGAGGTAAGGGGAAGGCGTTTTATCCAAAGGACGTTCCATAGGCCGGGAGAGAGTGTTTGGGCAGGGGAGAGCAACATGCAGAGAGGAGTCCCTTATGGGCAAGGGAGCATACATAGGTACAGCTAGGCCACAAGAGGGGAGGGAGAAGCGAGGGGGTAAAAGACCGCAGGACAGAGTGCACTGGCCCGGGGGGGGCACATGAGCAAGGGGGAAATCGTTAGGGAGAAATATAACGCGTGGACGAGACTTGAGAAGATGCAGACCACATGAACAAGGGTGAGATCAAGTGCAAAGGGAAGCTGAAAAAAGAAATGAATACCTTAATGGTGAGAAAGGGGAGGACAAGAGCAAGATATTCGATCGGTAACAAGTGACCCTTGCGGACCAGTAACAAAAAGGTCTCGTTGGATGTGGTGTCGTATGTGAGGACCGTACTACTAAAGACCCCAAAGGACCAAGATGTCCATACAATTAGCATCTGCCCCCGCTACCAGCATGAGCAAAGTGATTACAATGCGACGGTGACGTGGCAACAAACCACGACCCGCATGCTCCTGGCGAGGTTTCCAAAGATGTGGGGAGGAGGGTTGATTAAGGCAGATGTGGGTGTTACGGTAGTCAGATTAGGCACATACTACTTGAAAAAAGGGTCGAATAAGGAGGAATTGGTTGGGTCGAGCCAGCAGCTGAAGGACGCGGGTGCCATTATTATTGGGGCAACCTCATGGTTTGCACTCGGCTTGTTGTCCGTGTGCCTACATACGTGTGTGCATGGAATGGTATGAGGGCATGAAATAATATATATTTCATGCTTATAATAGTGTGTGATGATGAGTCATGATGTCGAATGTGCGTGTCAAGTGAATAGCAAGTTATCGCTATTCGCGTGTCAGGTTGTCGTTTGCGTGTCGAGTGCGTTTTCTATTTTGTCGAGTGTCGAACGTTCGACGTGACGCAGGTATGAGAAGCAAGCCTTGAAGAACTCAAGGAGGTATTTATGATGAAAAATCAGAGAATTGGTTGCAAGAATCAAGTGATTTAAGAGCTCGGCAAAACGGTAAACATCAATATATTGAGAATAGTTACATTGCGTTGTGTAGTGTAACATAGTTCTTGGTGTAGACCCTTGTGGTGGAAGGTTTCCACACCTTTCAAGGGTGGGGACTGTTTGACACTGTTCCAGCACCCTGGAACTTGGCTCTTAGGGTTTGTAGAGGCTGGGAGTCATTCCCAACTCGTCATTTCTTCCTAAGTTATACTCTAAGACTATAGTTGCTGTTCGACCACCGTTTGGTTAAACTACTCTTACGTCGTCAGTTATTTATCAAATGAAGTGATTCGACTTTCAAATTGTAGGCAACGTGAACAAGCTCCAGATCCAATTTATAGCACTTCATTTGGTGTTGTGACCAGAAGAATATCAATGTTTGAAGCCGCTCTGCCGAAATCCGTCTATGCTCTCTATCTTTCGTTTTAGGCACATTTACGCCTACTGTGACTATAAGGGCATATAACCATTTTGATTTCTGGGTTTTTTTGCGGACCATCCGTTATTTTGCAAACGGGCAGGACTGTCCGACTTGACAGTTCGGACATTGGCACCGTCCGGCAGGTGTTGTGGCATTTTTTTCGTGTTGGATGGTTTCGCGAGCACTGTAGCCTCGCACGATGCACAGTACTTGTCGAGAGTTAACTATGCAGAAATGAGGTTGAACTAGCAGCAAGGTGATACACGTATGAAACCCTAATTGGGGTTGTACTCTATACTGAGCACCTCACTATAGCCTAGAATAACCAGCAAAATATGATTAATTGACACACCCCATAGGCAAAGTGATGGATAGCCAACACAACAAACGGTCACAAGACTAGTCAAGGCAAGAGAACAAAGCAATGCAAAGTCCAGGGTGGATCTCAAAATCACCACGCATTCTGAGCACAAGCAAGTGTTAGATTCTAGCAGCAGGAATGGATGCACTGTAGAAGAGTTGGGTACAAGTATGAAACCCTAAATGGGGCTGTACCCCATATTGGCTACCCCACTATAGCCTACACACATATAACATGCATATACTTTGACACACCCCCATAGGCAAAGTGGGGGAGAACAAGGGGTCACCAGACCAGTCAAGAGAAGCAAAACAAGCTCAGGGTGGATCACAACGTCACCACACACACTGAGCACAAGCAAAGGGCCACAAGGCCAGTTCACATGCAGAGGTATATATACAACAACAGCAGTACAGTGATCTCTACCTAACAGAGCAAGCATGCAAGTATATATATGGATCACAGTACAGGCAAAGTCTGCAGCAAGTGAGAAAACGTGGGCACAAGGCCTAACAAAGCACAAAAACGCTGATAATCACCAGACGGAAGTGCCTTGGTGAATATATCAGCAGTGTTGGCCCTAGTGGCCACGCGAGGAAGGCGAAGCTGACCACGCTGCTGCAACTCTTGAGCAAGGAAGTAACGCAGAGCGATGTGCTTTGTTCTGTGCTCCAATCAGTGCTTCTGACACAAGGCAATGGCAGCCTTGTTGTCGACGTACAGCACTGGAGGAGAATGAGGCCGCTCTCCCAAGTCGGTCAGCAGGTAGGTGAGCCAGCGTAGTTCCTGTGCAGCCATGGCTGTGGCGTAGATCTCAGCCTCACAACTGGAGCCGAGAACAGAGGATGAGCGTGTAGACCGCCAAGAAACAGAGCCAGAGCCAAGGCTGAAGGTGTAACCCTGTG